GAGGCTCGTTGAAGGCGCAGGTACTTGAAGCTGTCGAGTCGACGATGAGCCACTGCGAGCACCCTGTAGCCCTTTTCCGTGTACTTTTCCAACACCTCGTTGAAATCATGCGGTACTGAAAAATGAAAGAGTGTTATAAGTAGCAATTTGCAAGTTGCTGTGGAAGTCGAAAGATAATTTCGGGGATACATCTTTATATACCAGGGTTGATTCGAAAGGTATCTCAGTAATCCAACTAATAAATACTGGATTTTAATACTGTACAGTGATAGAAAGGATTTGAAGAATTTCGAAATTTGGGAAACAATTTCCAATCAAATTCAATTGACTCCTCGATCATCTTTTTCTTTTCCAGAATCAAGGCTGATGCATATGTATTCTGATTTTAATGCTCTTCTTTTTCATTGTACCATAAATGCTCAAATTTAAACAGCAAAAAATGTAAATTCATCACGAAATCCACTTGCTTGATCACCCGTCAATCAAAAGGTATTCTCATTAATTCCAAGGCCTCAAGGAAACTTCCCATGCGCTGATTCCACGTTCAACCGCAGATTCCATAAAAAATAATAATTTGAGTAATTGAAAAAGCCTTTGAAAATATAAATCCTGATAATTTTGTACAAAAAATGTAGCATTGCAGGAATTATGAAGCTCTGATCACAATTTATTCAGCTTCATTTTCGAATTTAGAAATGGTTACTTTTTTATTGTAAGAAAATTATGCTTGGAAAGATACTGCTCCATTCCAGCAGTGAACAGTATACAGTTCTCCATGAATATATGATCTTCTTATACACGTGTATTTCCTTTTCGTTCCAGCTTAAACTCAGTATATGATCAGTGAATTGTTAGAAAATTTTCGAAAAATGAAGGTCTGAAATGTGAAGAATGGTAATTCACGGTTCGAAATTTCTATATTTATTCCATCAAAAGAAGCTGTTCATGTGCGCAATTCTTCTCACATCTGTTCTGTAAGCACTTCAAAGCATTTTTTACCCGTTTCCCCACAAAAATTCAGTCCTTCATGCTCAAATAAAGAAGAACCAGGATTCCAGTGATAACGAATTTGTTTTTTTAACAAATTTTTTCTCAAGTTCCTCGGAGTTTGTCGTAATGAGATTTTACAGCATCAAAATCCATTAATTGACCATAGTCTCAATCTTCCGGAAAAACAAATTAGACGGATACTCAAAAATTCAGAGAAAGCATTCTAATATGAACCGCCAAAATTCTCATTCTCTTTTTTGCAGCATATATTCAAAATACAGTCAGAAGAAAAAAATCTCACCAGTTTCTGAACGGCAAAGAGAAACAATTTTCTCCGGGGCCCCCTTGGCAAACAGACGGAAACCAGTCGCATCCTCTTCATCGTCAATGTTGGACGATTTGACAGCTTGACCCGTTCCACTTTCTTCTTCGGGCTCGTCTGGACACTCTTCACCGACCTCATCAATGTCCACCAATGGTTTCACAATGACCGACATTCTCTGCAGCGAAGACGTGAATGGGAATTGCCGGATGATGCCCAGTTCGAAGTGCTCTGATCTTAATGACTTTGCATTCGCATTGACCTCGTCGGGAACTTCCGTTACTGTAGATTGAGCAGACCCAGGTTTCACAATAGTTGGTATGATCATATCGTATTTTGCCTCGTCTGCCACCTGCGGCTCTTCCAGAGTCCATCCTGTCGATTCGAACATCTGCAAAAACAATAAAATCAATAAACTATCGTGGATTGCATACACTAGTGTTGAACCTCAAAAACTCGGGCCTCCACGAGTTGAAATACATGTACACCACATTTCAAATTTTTTTTTCAAGTCACTGTTTGACTTCTTAGCGAAACAATGCATTAAAAATCTCTCCAACTCGTGAAGCTTTTCCCCCTCAACCCTTTTGAAATGAAATTTTCTGTAGGCCTTTCGGCTATTATTTTATTATTGACACAGGAGAGATAAAAGCGATACAAAAATGATTTGAAACGCTTTGAAAGAAATGAAAGACGAATTGGGCACAAGACCCCTTGCCCACGAAGTTCAGCATCCTGACCATTATACTCATTCAATATAAGAAGCAAAATTGGGACAGAAAAATATCGCCGATCACGTCATTCTTCTTGCTTTCTTACTTTCGATGATATTTTATGAATTACTAGCATGGACGTTATCGACGCAATACTCTTCTACGAGTTTATCTTATTTGTAGATCACAAGCATCTCAGAAACATCAGAATTAAACCACGTTAAACATGATACAATGGAGAATCTTGGTATAATGAATTACTGGTTACAACGTATGAAGTCAGTTTTCTGGTTCCTCAGCAATAGCAATAATGTTATTCAAATCACTCTCGAACGAATTTATTGTTACAACGAAACGTATCCCTGGTTCCAACAGCTTCGTTTTGTGACAAAATTTTACTGTACATAGGAACAGATCAAGTTTATTTGATATTCCGGTCTTCTCGTCTCAGTTCCTGTCATTATGCAGCAGAATTCTGTTACAATGAATCTCGTGAGACAAATACTGTATTTCCCTATACAGTAATCGTGTTTTTTTCTTGGTCCAAGCATCAGTTTCTTCATAGGCGCAATGTTGCAAAAATCGCATTTCAACGGACTCATTTCAAGCTGTAATTTATACAGAATAACAAAATTTTTCAGCACTGATTCTGTGCATAAGGTATACAAATTATTTGTTACTTGGCAGAAAAAGGGACAAAATTGAACTCGAGCAGCATTCAAGCTTCATCAAAGAAGCAAAACTTTCTGTAAAAAAATTTAACGTTCAATAAATGCCCATTGGAAATGTTTAGGTGTATTTCAGAAAGTATTCCATTTTTCAGAATTTATGTAAAAATTTGTTTGGAAGAAAAATTCCCCTGGGACATTTGCAGAATGAAATTTTGCGGGAAATGGACAATAAAACCCAGTCATCTAGAATGCCTTGAAACTCATGCATGCATTCATCTCGATATAAAGAAGTTTTCTTTACGGCGAAGTTTGATCTGCCGGTCCCTGCTGATGGGAGTTCGTTTTTGTAACGAGACTTCACTGTGCAGTACTGCAGTTTCATTCAAATTCCAAAACTCACGATGACGTCGAGCGGGTCTCCAGTGAGTTTGCCGTCAATGAGCGTGAGCGAGTGGCAACTGGCCATGGCGTCAATCAGCGGCGTCGACTGGCGCACCTTCGGCAAATCCCCGGCCTTCATCGGCGACCGGAAACCACCCACGCCGTCCTTGTGCTCAATCGGAACTGCGCCCCACAAGTCCAGCCCATCTTCAGTCAGTGTTCCGGTCTTGTCAAAGCACACGCAATCAATCAACCCGGAAACGTTCACTGTTCGCGGCGATATGCAAAAGATCTGGGCCAGCTTGAGTCGACGAGTGGCGAGCATGATGCCGACGGTCATGGCAGCAGGCAGAGCAGGTGGCACGACGATCGTCAGGAGATCCAGGGAGTCCAAGGCAATGTCACTCCCTGTCAGTCCTCGACGGGCTTTCGTCACTGTCGTCCAGATGAGGCCGCCGAAAGCGATCACAGCGAGCACCGCGATGAAACGATAGGAGTCTGTGTTGAACTTGAAATCCACGGGCTTGGGGTACATGATCGATCGCACCAATCCTCCTGATGAGAGTGACCAACACATATAAAAATTGTCATCCTTCATTACTGGTTTCAAGCAGGCAAATATTATAATGGATATGGCGATTGAATCAAAAGGTTACTAAGAATTTTAAAATACTGGATTCAGATGCATTTTCCTCGCTTTTCGAGAAAATGACGAAATGCCACGATTATAAAGTGCTGCTGTAAAATTCCACAACTCGTGACTCTCTGCTGCATAAAAGGTTTGCCGGCAGTATCCGCTATTTTCAACAGCAAAACGACGATTTCTCCTGAAACGGTTACTTATATAAGCTCGTTTTGATGTATTTTTGGCAGATTTCGTCTGCTAATGGTGAATATTTTAAATTGAAAGATTCTTCATATAGCAGGTAAATGTCAAAATCCCCGCCTTTTTATTTCTTTCTACACCATTACTTCAAGTCAATGAGTACTTGCACTGCTACAGCATACACCGTTTTCACTCAATTATCACGCGCCAATACATAAGATATGTACTCGTCAATTTTTCGGCATAAAATTTGAAAAAAACATGTACCCGCTCAAGACACGCATCCAAGCTTTTGCTAGGTTATAGTATATTCGCTCTTCAAAAAATCACTTTTATATAAATAAACGTGGAAATAATGATTAAAACTTGAAGCAATGTTACAAAATGTAATTTGATGTTCATTCTTTCCTCCTTCAAAAACTCCCATATGATATACTGTAGAACTAGAACAGTACAACAGAATTCAAGATTTTCTTCATCTGCCAAAACTGTGCACAGTAAAATCTTGCTACAACAAATTTTTTTGTCAAACAGACTTTCTTTAAAGTCCCAGCAGAAATCCTATAGGGTGCATGTCCTGAATATCTTTCTACAACAAACTGTTCAATTCCAATACAGTATTACAAACTTTTCTGTGCAATATAATGTGATTTTCCAAACAAAAAACCTCTAATGAAGGCATCGGGCACAATCTCAAGAATTCAAAATGAGGCTGTGACTGCTGGTTCTTGGGTCATGAATGGAAGGTGGAATTGAGGACAAAAATTCTTAAAATTCACTTGAACATCCTCTCTATCAAAAATTGTTCCTGGGCTACAGTAAGGATGAGCAAAGGGGGAGGGGGAGTTAGATGAAGAAAATTACCCCACCAAAACTCATATTATAATGGGTTTTATATGCTTGAGAAACCCTCCTGATGCTTAAAACCTGTGAACTTTTTGAAACATTCAAAATAACAAATATGTGCAGGAGTTGCTTAGAAAAACTTACAAGTCCACAAAAGTGATAGAGTTCGTCTATTATCCAGAATGTATGTTCATTATTAAAATTTTTTTTCGCTGAAGATCACAATTTTTCAAGCACTGAAAATCATCCAAAAAGCCTCAAAAGCAAGATGTTGAATATAAGCAGGTTTAATGCAAGAAATCTTATCAGTCAATAATTTTCAAAACCTCAATATAATGTAAATGTAACACATTATTTGCTATAACAAACTTTTTTGAAGTCCCCATGAGTTTTGTGCAGCAAGATGTCACAATAATCGGATAAAATATTACCAACACCCCACTTTTTGCCTAATTTTGCGGAAAAAGTGGTATGATCAGATAAATATGGTGCTATATAGAGGTAAATTGTAATATCCGTCAAATATCATAATAAGGACCCATTTTCCTCGCAGAAAAACCGCAACACGCAATAATTTATTGACCTGCATGGTCATTCACAAAACGTTTTTAAGAAAGACCTCTTATGTGAAAACAGGACCCCTGGAGGCACGGGTTATTTTGCTCAATTGGTAGTTACATTGTTACATAATTTTATTGAATTTTCTCTTTCCAGTTACAACAATAGAAGAGTGAAAATGCATCCGCAAAATTTGAGCTACAGAGGTATGAAATGATAAGCTTATGATTCACAGAGATTTTTATACTTTTCAATGAAATACTTCTCAGGGAATTCAGACGGGGACTTGAAAAAAATTCAACTTAGGCAGGTTCGAGTTATCGAGATTCAACTGCAGTACGTATATGTCCGATATGTTCTACCAAGTTCGGATTTTTCAAAGGAAATTCAGGCAAGCGACGAACCCTTGTTCGTTGCATAACCGGTGCGAGTGACGACAGCCCGGACTCGTTCTGACCCATAGTACCGGGTCTGGATGACGAAGGTGCCACAGAAGAGCGTGTGTCGAGCATGATCCTTGGCATCGTACATTTCCCCTTCCGGTCGCGCTGGAATCGGCGTCTTCGTCACTGGCACACTCTCGCCTGTGAGTGCACTTTCGTTCACTATGCAGTTGCCGGTGACGAGCACGGCGTCACAGTGCATCTGGCATCCGTGTGCCGGGATCGTCACCACATCCCCGGGCACCAGGTCCTCGGTTGACACCTGCTCGTACACTCCACTGCCACGACAGACTTCGATGGTGTCCGAAGCATGCACAGTTCTTCTGAGTGCTCGTTGGTTCTGCATCACACATCGAAGGTAAAGACAAATACTGCTCAAATGTACCACTCACACATATTTTTTCAGGAAAAAAGAGGTTGCCGAAAAAATAGAGTTGAAGGCAGATATACAGTTTTCAAAATATGCTTTGCATATCATACTTAGTTATACAGTAATCGGAAATTTCAAACCAATTTTAACATTACTATTTTTTGAAAACACTCGAAAATTAATTCAATTCAGGTTTCATGCATGTCGAAATTAAAAGTATGTTGTGCCTTGCTTTAAATCGCAGTTTTCTAGTTACTAAAGATGCACTGTGTGTATTTTACCTGAGGATATGATTTCATCAAAATTGTATGCAAAAAAATACGTCAATAAACGCCGGGTCTCCGATACTGTATACAGTATAGACGCTCGTCTTGGATAAATGCCAATAGTCTGCAAGAGGATTCAATGGAATGTATTAGCCGGCCTCTTCAGTGGCCGGGTCAAAGAAATACCAGGGGAAGTGTAAAAATTCCGAGAAGTATTTTTGCGCTAGCAATCCTTCCCACAATCAAGTCTTGAACATGTGTTCAAGTTTTCAGCGTAATTTCCCCTTCGATTTTCCCAATTTTTTTTATCTTCCTCCATAATTGCAACTGTCGAAAATAATTGCGGGTCTAAATAAACGTCGGTCTTTAAAAAAGACTGGAGGAAAACATTTTCAAATGAACGTTAATTGTGGCAATTATTGGAGCATATACGGTAAATATGGCATTTACCTTCGATCACTTGATTACCACTCCTACCTTCTTTATAACAGAACCAATTCTAACATGATACTTTTGAAAGAAATAATCGAAAATTCAAAAAATTCAGGTTTGAATCATGCCCGAAAACAAATTCTGACGCGTTTCTTTAAATCTTGCAATTGTTAGGTCACTAAAAATTGATCGTGCAAATTACTTATTGGATATAGGATTTTAGGATAATTTTAGGCTGAAAAAGCTGCCAGCGCACCATGCAGCAAAGGATCCAAACACTAACAACTTTCCAGAATAATAAATTACCCGGGCTGCCAGAAAAATTTGCCGTCAAGGACATACTGTTGAAAGTTTTTGGTTCGACAATTTTTATGTCATTTTTTTCCTATACCAGGATACAGTATTCGATTTTCCATGAACACTTCCCCATTGTTCAAGAGATCAAAAGACAAGACACATCCTGTTCAGCAATCAAACCCTCTGGATACGATGGGAGAAATCCTTTCCAATATCCCCAGACACAATTTTTCTTAGAAGCAACAGACGGTATTAAAGAGTTTCAACAGAGCTGAAAATGAATTATTTCTGCACAGCAAAACTTCTCCCTTCCACAAAATTTAGCGAAAAAAAAACTGTGCTGGTTCACTCGATCCAGATTCATACGTTGATGTTCTGAAATTAATTCATTCGATTCTAACTGTTGTTCATCATCCTTTGTGCAATAGAAGGTCAAAGGTCACATCAAACTGCAGCTGTAAATAGTGAATTCGAAAAAAAAAAAATCCCAGTTCATTGGACTATTCAAAATTCAGAAGAAAAAAAAATCAAAACGAGAAAACACGAGGACAGATTTCCCAACGACGATTCGTACGCACCTTCCTCGTTTGGTAAATCGTCGACCCAATGCCACCGGCAGACATGATTATGATGGCTGTAGCATAGTAATAATACTTATCCGAGTACCACAGGCAAACCGAGAATAGCTGGAATATGTAGAACGGGTTCAGCACTTCCACAAACAACAGCGTCAGTATCGACTTCATGCGGATGTGGATCAAATTGGCGCCAAACGTGGATTGCCTTTGAACTTGCTCCGACGCCGTCAAGCCCGTGGATTCCAGCAGAGATGTGTTGGTTGCATTCGTCAATCCGCCGAGACGTTGAAATTCCTTCCCGTCCTCGTCCCAAACATACGTGCACTTCTTGCAAGTGAAAAATCGTATGCTTTTCTTTTCTAAAAAAATGCATGAATAGTTAATTTGTCAGTCAAGCCTCTTTTAGTCGAACTTCAACGGACCAGAAAAATAAATTCTTGTTAACGAAACAAGTATTTGTGTTCGGGGGGGGGGGAGAAAAACAAAAGATAATTTTAATTTATGATATTCTGGGGGTTTATTTACCCAATTAATCTTTCACTTCCATTCAAAATACATCATTTTTATTGCTTTTCTGTTTCCTGCGTGAATGAAATAATTGTCACTAAGTCTCCGACAAATTTTAGTTACCTTGGTTTGCGGAAGAAAGCTTTCGAGTTTTGCATGGCATGGGTTCTATAAAAGTATAAGGGACTCAGAGAGTGACTATAGGAAAAAATTGACACAGGGAGGTATTTGGCTAGAGGAAATTTCATTATTCGAGGTTCAACTTCTATTTTCATTCTAGCGGTTCATTTTCGGCCTCACTGTAGTACTGTACTTTTTAAAGTGGGAATAAGATGAAAAACGCAAAATCCCATGGACAAAAACATCTGCTCGAATTAAAAAAGTCGCAATTGTCTTCTTTGCTTCTGGAAGAAGATATTATACCCAGATCAGTCTCAAATTTTCGCCAGCATTCATATAGACTACAAACGTTCTTTAATATGAATAAGAAGTTCCTTCACATTTTACTTTTCCATCCAGCCGACGGATACTTAAAAATTGAACGAAACATGACCACTCAAATTCTGAAGGTCTGAACAAGCATCAAATTCAAAAACCTTCTGAAATACTCTACCTCCGATAACGGAGTTCTTCAAATAAAAATAATCTTAACACGTGAGAAACTTCAAATCACCTAAATCTGATATGCCAATTCAGAAAAATAGTCTTGAACGAATTCTCGAATGAAATTTTCGATCACGCCGAAATTGAAACCTACCTATATCAACTTATCTGAAGCAAAATTCCAATGAATACATTTGAGATAAGCACCCGAAAAGTTCAGGAATACATCAAGCTATCAAAACGTTCAAGAAACAAACGCAGAAAAATTAATCTCACGCAGAGGACATTTATTCGAGAATCATCTTTCACAAGAAACACGTAGTATTTATTGACGGTCTCACCAAAAAACGTTCCTTCAGCATCGGGCACAATTAGCAGAGGACCGTTTCCGGCTTCTCGTATTTGAACCGCTTTCGGGAAGTACTCCGTCCATTTTTGATACAACTCCTGAAAAACGATTCAAGCATTTCAAAACCATGGATCTTCGTCGGATGAAATTACAGATGAGATTTTTTTTGATACTTACGACAAGCAAAACCGTTGTGGCCTTGTCCAACTCTGCACGTCGTTGTGTGCAGTAGACCATCCACTCAGGCTTCCAGTGCAACACGAGCCAGCCAAGACCACAGGTGAAGATCACCATGATGCTGGTGAGCAGCGTTTTCAAATAGCTTCTTTCATATCCGTAGATTTCCTGCGTCATTCAGAAATGAAGTATGATCGTGATGTTGGTTTGAAAAAAAAAGAACCCTTTTAGACAGGAATATACTGACCATCTGATCATCTTAACTAACTTCAACACACGAGGGTTGTCCCAGTTGAACGCGACCTCTGATATTTTTAGAGCTGGTGTGTATATAAAAAACAAATTCCTGACATAGCTCGTCATAATGTTCTGAGCTTCTGAGATTTTTCCGGATTTGAAAATTTTTTTAATTCACTGCATGACGAGTAAAAACTTTCGCGTAACACCGAAAGTAAATATCGTTTTTCACACTAAATGATGCTTAAAAAGCAAAAAATAAAATTTTGCTAGCCGGGCACATATTTTGCACCCTGAGACATGGGGGAAGAACTCTGGCTGCAACTGGAAAGTTTCCACTCATCATAATGCAGCAAATTTAAAAAATCCATTAGAAATAAAAATAAACAATTCCAGAACGTTAGAAGATCATGGGCTTTACAAATCACACCTACTTTAAGAAGCTCAGAGGTCACGTCCAACTGGGACAACCATAGCATTCCACATATACCGCATTTGCTCAAGTACCACTCACAATTCTTTCTTCAAAATTTAGAAGAAAAAAAGAAGGGTGGGCGTTGTAGGGGCATAACATTTTCAAAATTTTGGAAATCTATAGGTGCAAGTCGTCCTTCTCGATTCCAATCGCAAATTTTCTAACCAACTTAGAAGTTACAGTACTGTATTTGGTTTTCGATAGCTTCTTTCATAATTGTAGATCTCCTGCATCATTCCAAAATGAAGTACAATCGTGATCTTATTTCGAAAAAAAGCTCGTTTATGCGCAAGAAAATTGCTTGCCGTCTGGTCATCTTCACATACAATAGCATACGAGGGTTGTCCCAGTTGAATCCGACCTCTGATTTTCTGAAGAGTAGATGTTGAAAATAGAAATTTTGTTTCGTTATACCCACTACCCTCTCTAAATTTTAGATAATGTTTTTAAAATTCACATTCATAGATTAGCTGGAGAAATTTTCATCCCCCTGAAATGACTTGGAGGGAAGAACTCTGGATGAATCTGGAAAGTTTTTTTTAATCATCATGCAGTAAATTGAAAAAATTTCTTAAAACGAACAAAAAATTCGATAACTTTAGAACATAATGGGCTACGTCTTGATTTTTTTCCGCACATTAAATCTACTTCAAAATATCAGAGGTCCCGTCAAATATACTGGGACAACCCTCCTATGGGACGTATGCAACTAATATCAAACTTACTCAAGTTATATTTTTCTCAGAATGGAAAGGAAAAAAGGAAGGTGCATGCCTTTTGTGCGCTGGTATACACAATTCTCTAAACTGACATTCATCGAGATACGCCATATACTGCAGTTACTCCTAATATAAATTTTGGAACCATGAAACAAGCCATTTAACTTTCAAACAGCTTCTTGCATATCATAGATCTACAGCATCATTCCGGAATGAATTATGATCGTAATCTTAGTTGAAAAAAAGCTGGTTTATTAGACACAAATGCTTACCATCTGATCATCTTCGCCAACATTAACGTATGCAACACTTGGTTTGCAGGCCGGAACACTGGAAACTCCTGGGACAAATCCCGTCGGCTTCTCGTCCAATTCTGCAAAATTGGAAAACGAAACATACATAATGAATATTTGAATTCCTAAGGAGCGTGCGATTCGCATTTTCAGAGCCAGACATACTGATGCATTTTTAGGTCAGCTCAAAACGTGACCATACAACCAACGTGTATGCTCCTTACAAAAATTACCCATATAATCCCTCATGGGCAAAAAGAAATGACGTAATGCGCACAAATTTGACGCAGAAACTGTTCTAGAAACGTAGAAAAAATGCAATCGAATTGAATAATGAGCACACATTTCTCGTTGAAGTCGCTCCTCACTATTAAAAAAACCCTATTTCTGCTAATTTGAAATCTAAGTTTATACATTACTATCTTCTTCACCACAAAAACTGACTCGAAGCACCCAAGCCATGCCATAAAAACACTCGCGTTTAAATTTGCTAACCTCAAGCTAAAAAAAAAATTGGCACACGCATGAATTCAAGTTATGACTACGACATTAAATGGGCACATTTAGAGCAAATCTACAGGAGCAGCTTCGACAAGAACGAGTACTGTACTAATGATATATCTTTGGTACAGTATATGCAACAAAAAGTACTGTACAGGGGTACAGCAGTACCTCATTTTACAGCTAAATAATCGCATGATCAAATTCTTCGAGATGAAATTCCATTTTAAATTCTTAGTAAATAAAATGTCACGCGAACTCTTAAGCCTGAAGTGAGCCAGAAAAAAGTTGCACGTATTTTCTCTTTCTCATGCTTTTTCCACCAACACGTGATTCCCGAGTAATGATTTATATGATTCCAATCTTGGGTTTGCAACTACAAACGTACAAAAATATACAAAAACTGCGCAAGATCTTCTTGAGGGAAGCCCCAAGAACTGTGGAACATTCAGAGTTCGAACAAAAGTGAAGTAAAAATATAAACTCTA